GATATGATCCAGAAAAAGTAGGAACCATTGTTGTAGCTTGTTATGTTTTACACAATACTTGTGTCAAAGGAAGATTGGATGAAAAATATTTTCCCGATAACCAGGGACCTGAAAAAATTGAAATTAGGGTAAATGAAGAAAACTCGGGCACAAGAACCAGACAACTTTTAATAGACAGATATTTTAATTAGAACTGTTAATAATATCATAGTAATTAGTTAAAGCTTTGTTGTTTTCATTTTTATTATTATTGATTAAAATTATTACAAAATTAGCTAAGATCAAAATCAATACAGTTTGTTCATAAATAGATCTGCTTTGAATTACTTTTTCACTACCTCAACTATTACTCCCGGCGATAGTTCCCGAGGTACTTTAAAATGCCCTCTCGTCGCCGAGTCTACGCCGAACGCTTATCTGCTAAACCAGACGCTCCTCTGTCATCCAGCGATCCGGAAGCGGAATGGCAGCTTTAATGCCGGCATCACTTCCGAAGCACTAGTTCGGCATCATTCCCAGACGGACATTTCCTCCTTCCCCACAGTCAGACTCACGCATTCTAACTCAACCAGTGTGACCCACTGTTCTAGCTTCACCTTTTAGCATCATTCACTCTTACCTTTGCCGTTGGTCCAGCTGTCTTTCTTCCTCTTCCTTTTTCTTGATCACTGCACGGATATAGCTGTGTATGTTAATCCAACCTAATTTATTTTCAATCATTCTCTCAATCATTTCTCTCACTGTAACAAAATTCACTCCTGTCTCTCCATTCTGTTCCTTTCCACTATCCATCTGCTGCAATCTAACATCGTATGTGTCACAGTGTCCGAGTATCCACAGTATAGGCATTCATCTGTATCAGTCTTTCCGATTCTATAGAGGTAGGCCCTAAAAAACCCGTGTTCTGTGAGCACCTGCGTCAGGAAATAATCCAGTCGCCTGTGGCCACAGTTCACCCAGATGTTCGGGATCAGCATTTTCGTCCACTGTGCCACATCCTCCGTGTTGTTCCATTCTTCTTGTCATCTTTCAACTGACCTTTCCCTTACCTGTCTTCTCTCAGCCACAGTAAGGTTTTGTCCTCTTCTCTCATAAAGCTCTTTTCTTTCCACCGTCAAAACATGCAACGGAACACATCCAGTGATGGTCCACAAGGCTGCCGCAGACACAGTCCTGTAGGCGCATGCCACTCGCAACAGACTTGTTCTGTCTACTCGTTTCATTAGACTCCTATAAGCCATTATCTCTACCACCTAGCTCCAGACTGGTGCCGCGTAGAGGACGTAGAGGACTGTACAACACCGTGTAAGATCCTCCTCCTTTCGGAAATGGGTCGTACAATGTTCGGCATCACCCTCCCCAACGCAGCCGCACCATTCGCAATCTTTCGGACCACCTCCTGAACGTGCTCCCCCCATTTTCCATTCTGGTTCAATGTCACTCCTAGATACTTTTGGTTTTTTGGCGGTTTTAAAATGTGCGGGAGTATGATTGCATCATACTCCCGCACATTTTAATTCAACACCTTGCCTGTTCCTTGTCCCCTTCAGAATGATGGCTTCGGTTTTCTCTGTCGCAAGGTTTAGTCCGTGCTGCGTCATCCATTTCTTAACGACGCCACCTGCTTTCCGAACCCGGTATTTGAGATCTGGCTCATCCCGAGCTACTACCAGTACAGCGAGGTCATCCGCGAATGTGAAGGGGGTTGTGCCTTCGACACTCCAGCTAAGTGTGCACTATGCAAAGAAGGTCACCCTGCTAACTATAAAGGCTGTGTGGTCTACAGGGAACTAGTAGAAAACAGACATTTGCAGAAAAGAGGAAACCAACAGCCTCAAAGACCAACATTCAACAGTCCACATGTATATACTGAAACAAATCAGCTAAATACTCTACAAAACCATCAAAGAACATATGCAAACGTGACAGCAAATCAAACAAATCACGATTCAGAACCTAAAACTAATATAGAACAACAACTATTAACATTCCTAAACGAGTTCAAAAACATGTTCTCGCAACTCATGAGTCAAAACAGTATGATATTAAACTTACTAACACAAGTCATTAACCAAAGAAATTCTTAAACATACTTAGAGTTGCCACTTGGAACGCTAACGGCCTGCTAAACCATAAGCAAGAAGTAATTACTTTTTTAAACTTAAATAAAATTGACGTTCTGCTTATTTCAGAAACTCACTTTGCCGATCTGACTACGTTCAATATTCCGCTCTATACCACATACAGCACACCTCATCCTGATAGTACAGCTCATGGTGGCTCGGCGCTAATCATCCGCAGCTGCATATCACATCATGTATTGCCGAATTATGCAACAGAAAAAATACAAGCAACAATCGTTCAAGTAAATTCAACACCATGGCACTTTAACATATCTGCAATGTATAGCCCACCTCTTCACACAATCTCCACAGATGAATACAAAGCCTTCTTCCAATTACTTGGCAGCAAATTCGTTGCCGGGGGAGACTGGAATGCGAAACACATACACTGGGGCTCAAGACTCATAACCACAAAAGGTCGTAATCTTCTAAAAGCAATGACCGACAACAACTATGATTGCCACACCAACGGAATCCCTACGTACTGGCCAAGTGATCCAAGAAAACTTCCAGATCTGCTGGACTTCTACATAAGCAAAGGAGTGTCCAGAACCAACTGTCTAATAGGATCCAGCTATGATCTCTCATCGGATCATACACCGGTTATTATGAGCCTGAGTACCACAGTTATAAACAGCCCACCACCTCCTCGACTCACGTCAAAAAACACCGACTGGGCAGATTTTCAATCCTACCTAGAAGAAAACACCCATCTTAATCAGCGGATCAAGTCTACACATGACATAGATACAGCAGCTCAATACTTCACCACACTTGTGCAAAAAGCGGCATGGCAATCTACACCACGAACTGAACGCAAACCAACACATACCACAAATGTTCCCCTGCACATTCGCCAACTCATTGCTGAAAAACGTCGTGCGAGGAGAACTTGGCAAAGATCTAGAAATAACATAGACCTACATATATTCAATAGACTACGAAGGCAACTTGGAGTAGCCATCAAAGCTGCAAACAACGAAACCTTCGAACATTACATAACAAATCTTACAGCAAATGACCAGCCGTTCTGGAAGGCCACTAAGAAGCTAAAGAAACCATACACAACCATTCCTCCTATCCGTAAACCAAATGGCGAATGGGCCTGTTCCAACAAAGAAGAAGCGGACGTTTTTGCTGAACATCTTACAAACGTATTTCAAACAGAGTCAGCAGACCCTGATGAAGAAGTGGAAGAACTAATTAACGCAGCATGTCAAATGTCCCTCCCACTTAAAAGTTTTACTCCTACAGAAGTTAGGAAAGAAATAAACAAACTCAATTCACGAAAGGCCCCAGGTTATGATTTAATCTCGGCACAAGTACTAAAACAACTTCCTCGTAAGGCCATAACTTTGCTAACAGTTATATTTAACCGCATGCTAAGCTTATCATACTTTCCAAAAATATGGAAATTTGCTGAAGTCATTATGATCCTCAAGCCAGGAAAAGAGCCCAATGAAGTAACATCTTATCGACCCATCAGCCTGCTCCCAACCGTAAGCAAAGTTTTTGAAAGATTGCTACTTTAAAGAATATACGCAGATCATGAATTCCTTACATTACTTCCAAAACATCAGTTTGGTTTTCGGGAAAATCACTCCACTACCCAACAAGTTCATCGAATGATAAATGAAATATCAAAAAGTCTTGAAGAAAAGAAATACTGCAACGCTGTATTTCTAGACATCTCACAAGCGTTTGACAAAATTTGGCACAGAGGTCTACTTTACAAAGTAAAAATAGCACTATCCAGTAACTATTTCCTCCTACTTAAATCCTACATATCAAATAGATATTTCTCTGTAAAATTCAAAGACCAACAATCCAACCTCTGTCCTTTCAACTCCGGAGTCCCGCAGGGTAGTGTTCTAGGGCCGCTGCTTTTCTCACTCTACACAGCCGATATACCAGAGACCAATAATACTACAATCGCTTCTTTTGCTGACGACGTAGCAATACTAGCCGTAAATGAAGAGCACATACAAGCCTCACAAAACCTGCAACATCATCTGAAAATACTCAGTGATTGGTATACAAAATGGAGAACAAAAGTAAATAAAACAAAATCAACTCAAATAACATTTACCAACCGTCACAATATATGCCCACCTGTAAGGATGGAAAATATAAGAATACCAACAGTAACAGACGCTAAATACCTTGGCCTCCATCTTGACCAACGACTCACTTGGAAGAAACATATCCAGACCAAAAGAAGGCAGCTCGACTTAAAATTCCGACAAATGTATTGGCTTCTTGGACGTAAATCAAAACAAAATTCTTCTATACAAAGCGATACTCAAACCTATCTGGTTCTACGGACTACACCTATGGGGCTGTGCAAAACCAACGTCGCTGAATATTATCCAAAGATTCCAGTCTAAAGTACTAAGATCGATAGTGGATGCGCCATGGTACGTAAGTAACCAAACACTCCATAATGACCTAAAGGTTCCTTTCATCAGAGAAGAAATTCATCGAGCCACGGAGTCACAAAATTAACGTACCATTCACCACGAAAATGAGCTAGTAAGGGAACTATACAACAATGGACCAGCCACAAGAAGATTACATAGAACCTGGCCTCAAGACCTTCTTCAGAACTAAACCAAAATAGAATAAGGTGAGACATCATTGGATGTCTCCCCTTCACGCGCAAAACCTGTAATCACATTTACTTAATACTCTTTCTTTGATGTAGATTGTAAATAAACATAATTATAATAATAAAAAAAACCTGAATCTTAGGTATATGTAAATACTTTTATTAAAAATTATTTTGTAGTTCTATTTTAAATAATCAAGTAACAATGTATTTGCATTTTGTATTTACTCAAATACTTTTACTACACTACTTTTAACATTCCTACTTACATGTAATTTTCTTTTTTTCAAACCCACTTTCTCATTTTTAGGATTCCCCTCATATGAAGACTTTCCCATTATACATAGCAATCTAAGTTCATATGAGTACAACTGTTGACTACATGACTGTCCACCGCCAGTCTTGCTTTCATACGTTTTTATACCAGCAGCTTTTCCTTTTACTTTGGACTTCCAATGAGTTAGCGTCTGAAATAAAATATATTTTTAGGTAATGTTTTGTTTTCTTCAAAAGCAATTATTACCTTTTTCCATTCAGCTGTAGTTTTTTCACCATATCCAAGTGCATTTAATTTATTTGAAAGTTGCTTCCACAGTTCTGTTACCTTTTCTTTGTCGTTACATCCTGGAAATCTCTTTGTAATAATTGATGGATTTTTTTCAGCAAAATCCAATAAAATTGCCCAATGGTCTGCATTTACCCTCATGTCTATTGAAAATAAATATTTTGGCAAAGAATATAGACGCTTTCAATATTCAGCCCTGTGATGTATCAAAAACGTTATAAATAACGTGCACGTTAATCTGCATTTACGTTAAATTCTAAAAATTGATGTGATGTATCACAGATAACGTTTCTCAAAAACGTTATCTGGTAACGTTTTACGTTATCTTGCTAACATAACAGCTTCAATTTAACAGGACGATTTAACCTCATGCTGTTTGTAGATCGCGATAACGTGTAGTTAATAAAAATATAAAATGAACAATTTAGTCCAGAATTTTGGCCGGATTCTAAACGATGTGTTATTAGAAGAATTAGATGATGCTGTATCTGTAGAGTAGGGAGGGCGAGTTAAGTTTCACAGCACTTAGGCCACAATTGACCCATTGTGCATCCTCCCAGGGAGCTGTCACCCTTAGCTCATTGTCCATCCTGCCATTTCTAGGAAGGTGGACAAGTCACCAGCAGACATCTCACTTATCGTCGGCTTAGTGACACAAAAATGTATCTCAAAAATGACTACTTTTCAGGAGAGCTTATTTAAGGGTTTTAAAAAAATGATTTGCATTTTGTAATGACTTGTAGTTTATCCTCAACTTTTTTGTTCCGAATTATTAATGTTATAAATGTTGTCATTACGGTAATACAATCATACACAACAATGGCTAAATTGTGTTCTCAAAATATCAACAATTAAATAAAGTAGCGGAGATACATTTTTGTGTCACTAACTGAAAAGTCTATTGAGACTTACGTAGGTACCATTTAATTTTAGAAAAGCTTAATCTTAATCCTATTACAGTCTTTTACCTAATATTATAACAATATCTACAACAATTAACTTAAAACTGATTTACGTGTTTACGTCTTCACAGTTGTAACAGAACTGGAAAGGCAACGGACCACCCTGATAAATATAATAAACAAATTATCAACTGATTCACGTGTTTCACAGCTGTAACAAAACTGCAAATATAACAGACCACCCTGCTAAACATAATAAACAAATTATCAAATCCACAGTTACTACCTGCAAGCACCATTCAGTACAATAAAATGTATGCCACAAAAAGGTAACTCAATATCAGCTTATTTATAGTACGAAAACGTAGTATCACAGAAATGTAACAGCACTTACATTTCTGTGACACTAAAAGATTGTTAAAAAATGTAGTTACGAAAACTCCTTATTGGGGTTTTGAGTGCTCGGAGAGATACAATTTTTTGTCGGTCAATAGAACTCACTAAGGTAAATTCAATGGTGTAAATATGTCAAAACGTGAAAAAATGTAGTTACATTTTTGTGTCACTAAGCCGACGTTATGTGGGCAGGTGTAGGCCAGGACTCGCCGAACGCGTACTCTCGTATTAACGATAACTCTGGGCATTCACATAGGACATGCTCTACAGTTTTGTCTTCTCGTTCATACTTCCTACATACAGGTGTGTCTACTAGCCCCAGTGTGTGGAGGTGTTTGCTTAGTTGACAATGACCAGTTAAAAAACCAACTGCCAAACGTACTTCTTTGATGTTGACTCTTCAAGGTTACTTAGTGTTACCCTGGCAAGTTTACATCCTTTCCCTTCTTCCCATCTTTTTACGGTTTGCGTATGGGAGTGACATTTGACAATTTCCGCGATTGTTGTAGTTGACCAACCAAAAAGATCCCCAGGTACTAAGAGTCTTAGGCCTGCCGCCTTCCTAGATAATGGGTCAGCAATGCGGTTGCCTTTATTATTATTGTGTCCTTTAACCCACTTCAGGATGATGGTATTACCATCCGAAGCTTGAGTTAGTGACTCGTGACACTCCATTACTAAACCTGATGTGACACGTGGTCTATTCAAGGTTAGTAGCGCTTGTCTGCTATCTGTGCAGATCATTATAGTTTTCCCTGCTATACCTTTTTGGGTTATCCCTTTTGCGGCTATGACAATACCAGTTAGTTCTGTCTGAACTACACTGGCATTTTTGCCCATACCCCACTTTATTCTTAGGTTCAGTAATCTGGAGTATATCCCGCATCCTGAGCCTTCTTTCATTTTGGAGCCATCGGTGTATATGCAATAGGCATTTGCCACGTTTGTCTCCATATACTGTCTTGTTTCAATTTTGTAGGGTTTGCTAAAGACGAACTTTGGTTCAATTGAGTCGCAGCCTGCCTGTAGTACTGGTAACGCATCCAGCTCTCCCCGCCAGAAACGAGTTCTCAATTGTCCCATTCCTACATCAAGTTTTGCACCAGCTGAGCGCAGTCGCATCATTGTCACTAGAGCCACCTCTTTGACAGATATGTCTAGAGGCGTGATGCCAATGATCAACTCCATTGCAGCAATTGGTGTTGTTTTCATGGCACCTGTTATATTTATGCAAACCATCCGCTGAATATGGTTTAGTTTGTTAATCGCTGTTGCCTGTAGCACTTTTGGTACCCAAGCAATAGCTCCGTAAGTTAGCATTGGCCTAATGACAGCGGTGTAGACCCAGGCGATCACCCTGGGCGTGAGGCCCCAGTGCGTCCAACCGTTCGTCGACACTGTTCATAGGCAATATATGCTCTTTTAGCTCTACCATCTAGGTGTGAGTTCCATGTTAACTTCCTGTCAAGGGTAATACCAAGGTACTTCACCTCGTCAGAAAAATTTAGACTATAGTTTAGAATCCTTGGGGGTATTAAGCCCGTGATTCTTCTTTTCCTGGTAAAGAGGACCATCTCTGTTTTCTTAGGATTTATAGATAGTGAGTGTTCCTTGCACCATGTTTCTATTAGTCGAAGAGCAACTTGTGATCTCTCACATAGTGTGTTCTCAAACTTACCGCTTTGCAGGACAGCAATATCGTCTGCATAGGCTATTGTGTAGAAACCGTTGCTGTTGAGTTGGTCAACCAGGGTGTCTAGAACTATGTTCCATAGTAGTGGTGATAGCACCCCTCCCTGTGGACATCCCCTCGTAACCATGCCTCTAACAGAAACGTCTTCTACATTTATGCTTATTACTCTACTAGAGAGCATACTAAATATCCATTTGCTTATGGCCAGGGGAACATTCCTAACGTTGAGCTGTTGGGTGATAGTTGGGAATGTGGTTTTATCAAACGCTCCCTCAATGTCTATGAATATACCTAGGGTGGATTCTTTATTATCCAGTGATCTTTCAATTCTTCCCACTACATGATGCAGTGCAGAATCGGTAGATCTTCCTGAAGTATATGCATGTTGATTTGGGTGAAGTGGGTTATGAACCAGAACTTCATCCCTTATGTACCTCTCGCATAGCCTCTCCATCGTTTTCAACAGAAAGGATGTTAGGATAATTGGTCGGAAAGCCTTTGGTAGGGTGTAGTCCATCCTATCTGGTTTTGGTATGAAGACCACACGTACCTCTCTCCACTTCTTAGGAATATATCTCAGAACCGAAGAGGCTCTGAATATTTCCACGAGGTGCGGCAGAAGGATATCCAGTCCCCACCGTAGTAGGGCTGGATATATGCCATCAGGCCCTGGTGATTTGAAAGGGGTAAAGCACGATATGGCCCATTTTACATTTTCCTCATTAATCATTGTTCTGGCGAGATGCCAGTCGTTTGTTGAGGGTATGATTGTTTCTTCCATCCGATTTGGTGCTGTTGAGACACTAGAACCGGGAAAGTGTTTTTATCAGGATCTCAGCACTTTCGCGAAAGTTGGAAGTTTTGTTCCCATCTTCCTTCGTTAGTATGCCGACATGCCGATGTGGGTCCTTTGAGAGCGCTTTTTGTAGCCTGGAAGCCTGCGGGAAATCTTCGATTTCCTCACAAAAGGTTCTCCAAGCAGCTCTTTGTCTTTGTCTGCAGACTTTTTTAAACTCTCTGAGATTTGATTGATAAGAATCCCAATCCCCTGTGAGTTTGGTGCGTTTCGCTCTATTAAAAGCTGTTCTTGCTATCTTTCTAAGGTGTTCCAATTCAGTGCACCACCAAAAGTTGGTTTTGCGACTTTCCTGGACCATCCTTATTGGACTGGATTTTTTATAAGCATAGCTTATTTTGTTTTGGATAGATACCGTATACCTTTCCAATTCTATGTTAGTTCCTGGAGTTGAAGCCTTTTCATTCCGCAGAGCATCTTCTAAGAGTCGGTTGTAGAGTTCTACATCCGTCCTCCTAGGGTCGCGATATTTGACAAGGCTTTTTTCCAGACTAATATTATAGGTTAGCCAGCGGTGGTCAGATATAGAAATATTATCCGATACCTGCCAGTTCTGAATCTTATTCGATATTTCAGCTGTTGCCAGCGTGATATCTATGACTGTTTGGCTACGAACATTAATAAAGGTAGGTTCGGTGCCCTTATTTAAGATATATAAAACTTTTATAATAATATAGTCATAAAGGGACTTACCTCGAGCGTTGTTGTCTTTGCTGCCCCAGCCTAAGTGGTGAGAGTTCGAATCGCAGCCGATAAGAGCTGATGATGCTATTAGAAGGTTTGTTAAAGTTATTTTTAATTGTAGTATATTATTTATTTAGGTTATGTTATTTTTAAACAAAACTATTTTATTTGTAGGGACGAAGAAAACATTCAGAGAAGAGTTTTGCGAGATTTGTTAAATTCTTTTGAATTAGTGGAAGCCGAATTTCAAAAGATATTTAGGTTATCGAGGGAATTGTCTTGGCATTTGTTCGAAAGTCTCCGGTCCCATCTAAGATAAGTGCAAAGATCAAATGCGTTAGCACATGAAACCAAGGTATGTTGTTTATATTAAGAATTGAGTGAATATATTACAATATGTTATATTTTTAGGTGCTAAGTGCTTTTGCATTTTTTGCAACAGGGTCCTACCAGCGCATCGTGGCACAAAGTATTTTTACCATGGAAAGGTCCACTTTTAGTAAAGTATTAACAGAAGTAACTGATGCGATGGTAGAACATCTGTTGCCAAGATATGTTAAATTCATTGACACCACTGCAGAATGCGAAACAGTACAAGAAAGGTAAAACATAAAACATGTAATTAATATTTGTATATATATATATATATATATATATATATATATATATATATATATAGAAAAGGAAAAGAAGTCTTTGCTGACAACGTTAGAAAACGGAGCTTTGAGGTTTATTGGGATTTATTCAGCGGTGAAAAATAAGTGTACTCTTTTAACTAAGTTTCAAGCTTTCGAAAATGTTTATTTTCATCATCAGGAAAAACTGAAAATAAAGTGCGACTGTTAGTAAATCATCCTCGAAATTAGTTGTAGAAAATGGTTTTTTTTTAAACGATAAAAACTTACGTTATTGAGGTTCGTCTTTCGTGGATGTTTCACTTACAGGTGACAATATTACGCACCACTCATTGATTGAGTCAAATTTTAAAATATTTAACACATATAAAAATTTCATGGTGTATAAGACCAAACTTAATAAATTATTATACTTTAACACATAAGAAAAAGACAGTTAAAAAAGTTTACAACGGCCACGTGTGCCGGCCAACTGTTGAATGAAAGGTTAAGAGTAACTGTCATTCCTGGACATGGCAAATGACAGTACTTCTTCTTATTTCTTTGTCTTATGTAGTACTACTATTGTTACACATCAAATTATTGACAAAGGTTGTATTGGAAAAAAAACAGAATTTAATAAAGAAACTGTGAAAAATATAACGAAACCTGGAAACTTTACAATGAATCAGTCATTGAAACATCATTGAAATGTGATGATCCATCCAAATATAATAGGTAGGAATATATAGTGCTCAATTGATTAATGTCACTCCTTTTGTTCATTGCATTTGAGTTTTGTGCAATGAATGCCATTTCTAAAAAGAGTCTTTTATTGTAATTGGACTCCGTAGCTAAAATTTTAACTGAATCGTAATTCATAATATGATGTTCTTTATTTACATGTTCTGCCAGTGCAGATCTTTCTGGGTATAGTCTACTGTCGCTACGATGACTGATTAGGCGACTGCCTAGGTTGCGTGTGGTTTGTCCCACATATACTAAATTGCAGTTGTTGCAAGGGATCTGGTAGACAACGTTGGAACAATCTTTGATGTTACTTTTATCTTTAACCTTAGAATAGATGGATCTTACAGTTAATGAAGTTTTATAAGCTATTTTCAAATTGGTGACATCTTTAAAAAGTCTTGTTAGTCTGGGTGTTATGCTTTTGATGTATTTCAGTGAGGTATATGAGCAATTGGTATTATGTTCTCCATTTGTGGCATTGATTTGTATCTCATCATTTCGGCGTGTTATGTTAGGGGTCAAACTAAATAGAATTTTGGTGACTAAGGGTTTTGGATATGAATTGTCCATGAAAAGGTTGAACAGGATTCTCAGGTTCTTCTGCTGGAAAGAAGGGTCACTGATGGAAATGATTCTAGCCTTCATTTGTTTAAGTAGGTTGATTTTGATTGAATGTCTATGGTATGACCAATAGTTGAGGAAGCGTCCAGAACTATGAGGTTTTCTATGCCAGTCGATAACAAGGGAGTTATTTGGGGTTCTAATGAACCGGGTGTCAAGAAAGGGGACTGAGCATAGATCGTCCTCATGTTCGATTGTGAACTGTAGTAGAGGATCATACCTATTAAATACATTTAAGATTTCTGTGGATCCATTGCTGGGGATAGCTAGGATTAAGTCATCCACATACTTTTTTACAAAAGGAATATGAAAGGACAATTCTGGGATAACCATATCTAATAGATGATCCATCACATAGCAGGCCAAAATGGGAGAGATAGTAGCTCCCATAGGAGTTCCTTGTGTTTGTTTAAACACAGTATTGTTGAATGTAAAATAGGTGTTATTAAACAGAAAAGATATGAGTTTTTTGAAGTACTCCAAGTTGATATTACAGTGAGAACTGATAAAATTCCAATTGTTTTCAATCGCTGTTAAAGCTGCATCTAAGTGAACATTGGTGAATAATGAAACTACATCCAGACTGACAATCACATAGCCATCAGGTAATTAATAGTTGTTAAAGTTATTGAAAACATTAAACGAGTTTTTTATGTAATATTCATTTGACACATATGCGTTGGATAAGATTTCAGTTAAAAAAGATGCTAATAAGTTGGTGGGGGCACCAATACATGCAACAATGGGACGAACTGCAAGCTGTGGTTTGTGAATTTTGGGCAGAGCGTAAAATTTAGGTATAACACCCTTGTAGCTAGTTAGTTTTTTCTTTGTAGCTTCATCTATCTGCCTTGAGTTACACAATTCCTTAATGAGGTTGTTACATCTGGTTTGAACATTGTTGGTTGGATCTCTGTTCAACCTTTCATAAACATTATCGGAATTTAGCAATTCAAGACATAGATCTAGATATCTCTGCTTTTCCAGAACTACAGTTACATTACATTTGTCTGAAGGCATGACAATGATGTTAGTGTTTTCACTAAGAAACTTGCGAGTTTTTTGTAACATAGCTCTGAAAAAGTTAAAGTTATTTTTGTTACTGTTTTTATGTAAGTAATCAGTAATAATGTATGTTGACCTAGCTATAAGTATGTCCCTCTGATGCACATCAGTGACAGAATGTAAGATTGTTTCAACGTCAGCTAACATATCCTTAATAGGGATATCGTTCCCTAAGATTGGTTCTATGCTGAACTTAGGACCCAAAGACAAAAATCTAGAGATATCATCTGGTAAAGTTACATTGGAAAGGTTCTTAATCCAACCCGGTTTTGTCTTAAGTTTTAAGTTCAGCTCAAGATTGAATAGCCTATTATATTTGTTAGTGTTGCTTAATTTGGTTTTGTGAAAAATTCTGTTATATGATACTTGTTGTTTACTAGAAAAGTTATTAAAAATGAATTCAGAAGTTAGTTCAATGATGTTTCTTTTTGATTTAGTTAAGTTGGACTCTAAACTGTTAATGACTTTAATACAATTAGAAATTTCTAAGTTCAAGATTCTGTTTTCTAACCTGGTAAATTGTAAAGTGTCCTTGTTCGACTGGATGTCCTGTCTTTGCAACTATTTAGTGATGGATGATATATATATATATATATATATATATATATATATATATATATATATATATATATATATATATATATATGACTGTCAATATTCACAAAAAGCAAGTGTTTTGGAGGTGCAGTCACAAAGTTTGCTAGGATATAAAAAATCATTCTTTTGAGTTTGTTTTGCCTAGTTCTTGGGATTATGTAATCCCATTGTCAAGATGCTGTAATGTAAACACAATTGTAAATATTTTATAAAATATTACATTATTCTAATACACTTACAACATGTGAGATTATATAAAATAGACACAGAATTAACATTAACAAAATACATAATATTTAAAATTGTGGTTTACATTACAGAGTCTTGACGAAGAGATTAAAGAATCCCAAAAGCAAATTTCTTGGAGTTTCAGTCAGAAAGTTGGCCAGGATATCAGAGAAACACTCTTTTGACTTTGTCTAGCTTATATATATCGCTGCTTTTCATGAATAATCACACATTTAAAAAAACGTAATTTTTCAGGAGAGGCCGTCAAAAATTAAACAACATTATTTATTCTCATACCTTTTTATTAAATTGAGATCCTTTCACATTAAATATAAACATTAGTAGGGCGTTAATCATTATTTCCTTGTGATATAAACTTTTTGTTACTTGGCCATGACAAGAACTTCAAAATAATGAAAAACATTCAGTACTTCGACTTATGACAAAGTAAGTACAACAAAATTATTTTGAATAACATCACAAAGCATAATGCGTTACTCAAGCTATTTTCAGGTTGTCTTGAAAAATGACACAAGTGGTAATAATACTTTAAGTGATATTAAGAATTTTCTAAAAATTTCTAAAAAGTGTTACGAACATGCGTTCAGCAGCTAACAGCATCTAAGTGGCCCGCTTAACGGTCGCATCTCGAAGCATCGAGAAGTGTCGGCTTTATATCAAGCGCTGTAAAATTCCACCCGTCGAATAACGAATTAGAGGTGGGGCTAGTCCCGAATATTCTCGAACATAATACTTTGGTATATATATGTAACGGAATTAGGAGTTAAGTTTAGTTGATAAGAGAATACCGAACTGTAAAGTTATAAATAAATATATTTATATAAATTCGAACCGCTCGTTTTATTTAAAAACGGTACAGTTGGTGTCAGGTGTGGGGTTAGTATATCATCTATGCATGGGATGTGGGCCATCATCCTCTTACATGCTGCTGTCCATTTTCCCCTGTATTGTCTATCTACTGTAATGTGCTGTAAAAGAGCTGTCATTGGCCCCACAGATTGAGCCATTGCTGACTTCTTCTCCGGTGGGTATGTACACCCTTCAAGTAAGATATGATGGGACCCATTCAACCCATACTTTATTACGGAAAATTGTTTGAGGGTCCCATCAGCAGCTTTTCCTTTGGGAGCTACACTGTGGCCTAATCTGAGCTCTCTCAGTCGGAGCTGGTTTCCCACAAAGAAATCTAGATAGGGCATCACTGTCCCATACCAAGCATCTTCGTTAGGTCCAAATTTCCTGAACTCAAAACCCTGATTCGCTGCCTCCTCTTTCAGGATGTAATTTGCCTCTTCCAATAGGATGCTCCTCTCACCTCCCAAATAATTTAAAGGAAACGTTTTCTTATCCCTTGTCTTCGCCACCATTGTTCTGTTGGTACCACTTGCTTCTTGTCTCAATACTGTGAATGAAGCGAATATTACATTAGTCACCTTGTGTGCCAGACTTATGCTCGCATATGCTTCGTTTCTTATGTCTTCACTGAATGTCTTTTCAATTATCTTTTCATATGAGTTAAGGAGAAATTTAAGGCATTTTACTTTTTTTATGTTATCAGGTGTCACTCTCAATCTTTTGGCAGAAGGCACCTCTATTCCAGTGTCAGGATCAACCTCGATGTATGGTCTCTTCTTACCACTATTATTTTCATCAATCTCCATTGTACGGGAAGTAAAAACAGATCCTATTCTAATCAATGTTTTTGTAAAAATAATAAAATGGCTTGCGCAGCTTGTTCAGAGCTCCATTGTCCTTCCATGGTGAAGTTAAGGACACTCATTAAATTATAGGCGTAAAACCCTCCGTTTCCTGACACATTAAAATTGTCTAGTATGTAATCACCACCTCTCCATCTAGTTGGGGCATTCTTTTCATCTACCATGAACCCACACTGCAGGAAAAACGGCCTCAGAAGTGATGGCTATAGTGAATTTAACTGCTGATTTATTGTGTTTGACAACATCTAGGCAAGCACATAGAATGTTTTTCCCCATAAATGGACTATACCGAATTTAATAATATCGAGATAAAATCGAGATGGTAAACTGCATACACATAAAGCGCTATAATAAACTGATTTTTCGTTATCAGAGTAAAAAATCAAGTCTAATTTTGAAGCGAGTTCCTCCGAATGGTTTTTTAGGCTGATCATAAATTTGAGCAGACAAGTTCCAATTTCTATAGCTCCTCGTTTGCCTTCACCCTCATGCCAGACAAAACAAGCAGTGTCTTTAGACTTTAAGTTATATATCGTGAAGTTATACACATTCAATTTTGATACGTAGTAAAAGTTTGACGCATTGCCTCTAGGACAAGGCATTGCAGCTTGAAGATCATACACGGCTACAATACAATTATCGGGAGTATACTGTTTGTCGTCTTCTTTATTTTGTCTTGCTAGATTCTTTTCTTTTAAGTGCGTATCATACTTTTTCCTCAACTCTTCCTTATCTTTTTCTACGGCATTACTAAAAGATGTGCAATTCTCACACTGATCCTTTTTCGGTTGGAAAAAGGCAATGTTAAATTCGCTGTTAAAAATTTTATAATACATTAAGTAATTGCCGCTTGGTAGATCTTTTGAATCGCAATCGAGTTCATAATCTCTATGCAACTCTGCTATAGTTTTACCTCCATCAATATAAAGCCTCTTTGTGTCGGACCGACAGTAGTGGCTTTCAATTTTAGGTATGGAGTCTATGTGGCGTCTAATACCCTCTTTTCTAGCAGGATCAATAGTAAAATGTTGGCTATGTTTGCCTCGATTGTCCAGATCTAGTGTTCCACATGCGTTATTCTTCTTCTTAAGTACGGTGCGGACTGTAGTATCAGTAATATCTAACGTGGCTTTAAAAAATATTTTACATACTCTAGTTCGTTCATTATTAACAGTAAAATAAAAAGCATTATTTTTTCCACGATTACTATTATGCATTTTGTACGAATATCTTGGTTCAACCACTGAAAGATGGCGTAGAACAACTTCACGTTGTCTCTGCAAGTCTCCCATGGTCCAATAGTTATCAAAAATTTGCTGGCGTTGTGTTTCTGTAATCTTTTGTACACAATTTTGTTTGCATTTTTCAGAACATGGTGCTTTTAATGACTTTGCAGGAACTATGGTCATTTCTTTTTTTGAATTAGACAAGTAAGACTTACCAGAATTTCTCAAAATTTTCGCTTTGGCGCGTAACCAGTTATTGGGTCTAGCTTTTTGTTTTCGTTCTTTTCTCGAATTAACATTTTCTTTACCTTCAATACATGGAGCAGCTATATCTGCAAAAATTGTAGACCGTGAAGCTACGGGATCAGAAGGGTTACTAAAATTGTTATTTGTAAACATTCCAGCTACTGGCTCAGCAACACAATCGCGTGGAGTTTCATCTTCGTTGGTGCTAGATGACGAAAAACACCTCAGGATATTTTCTATTTTAGATGGTGCAACTGCTTTTGAACAAGCTTGATCTGCTTCAGAATCTGAACTGGACGAACTGCTTGAACTACTGGAGCAGCTGTTCGAACCACTTGAGCTGCTTGAACTGCTCGTACTAGATGAACTGCTACGAGATTTTGATTGTCTAGGGATGGCTTCGAGTGAATTTGGTTGGCTGGAGACATTTTGCTTTAAGTGTAATTCTTCATTATTAAAGTCTTGGTTATTGTCTTCGGAATCCAACTGTTTTGGAGATTGTCGCTCAGAATCAGGAATTGGTGCATTTATCAAATAATCCGTCGTGATCTCCTCTGATGGTATCAATGATTTTTTACGTTTGAATTTATTCTTGCGACTTCTACGGTTATTTGCATCACCATTCGAATACTCGTAATCTGGGTCTTTGATACTATCATCGGAACAGAAATCCTCAAAACTGTCTATGTTGTTTGTAGATATTATGGGGGATAAGGTAGGGTGTTTTCTTTTGGTAACTTGCTGGTCAGTTGATGAGACAGTCGGTTTACTATTTTCATTTTTGTTAATATTCAGTTTAATGTTCATGTTTTGGAACATTTCAATAGTACGGCGATTTGACACTGCAAGAAAAAGTTTTCAATAAAAATAGTGAAATAGCGAAATAACTTTTATATTTTAAGGATGCTCAACTTATTATTATGATCAATCAGTATCAAAATCTCAAAAAACGATGAACATAATCAAGACAAGGTGATAGTTTTATTTATTGCACAATCGGTGTAGTCAAACCAATAATAATTAATAAAGACTATTTTTTATTTTACAGAATAAACGCAACGAATTTTAGTATAATGATTTTTAAAACCTTTACAAAACTCAGAATTCACAATCAATTATTGTGAATATTGTTGTATTATGTTTAAGGTCATGAGTTTTGGATGCGAATTTTTAACGAATAGCATCTCATTTCATTATAATATTACCTCCAAAAATACAAACAATATATGAAGATTGGATAAAAATTTTTAAACAGTTTGATGGGCCTTTAATTATAGGTGGTGATTTTAATGCACACCACTCTATATGGGGCTGTCATAATAATGATACCACAGGATCACAACTAATAAATGTCGCAGATAATTTAACAATGGAGAACCTACGATCTTAAGACGTCCTGATCAACGGGATTCAGCAACTGATGTAACCTTTTGTTCACCTGAACTAGTAAGCAAAACATCTTGGAATGTCATCTCTGATACTCTAGAATCAAATTACTATGTCATTTCCATAGAATTAATTTTTGAAATTAATGAAAATGAAATATCTCCTAAAAATAAATGGAATATTAAAAAAGCCAACTGGGCGTTTAATACCTCAACGATTCCGATTTTGCATGAGACGAACATCAGTCACCCGGATAATCTAACTGAACAGTACTCCTTCTTCATTAATAATATAAATACGTGCCGCAGAAGCAGCAATACCCCAATATAAATCTTATAAATGTAAACGGCACCCACCCTCTTGGTGGAATATTGATTGTGACAATATTATCAAACAACGAAAATTGGCTTTAATAAATTACAAGAAAAAAACACTTATTTTGAAAATTACGTTCAATACCAGGAGATCTCGGCTAGAACCAAAAAAACATTAAAAAACACAGCAAAAAAGCATTGGATTGAATGGGTCTCTTCCCTAAATAAAAATACACCAGCTACAACTCTTTGGAATTAAGCTAGAAAAATCTACAGAAAACCAATATCAAAATTAAAATCTTTCGATCAAAAATGGATCGATGACTTTCTTATTAAAGTTGCACCACCAACTGCGAACCCTCAAAAATCCAACTACATAGATTCAACCCCTTCTGAAAAAAATCATTTTCTACTAAACAATGAACTAATTTTCGCTATAAATGATTGTAAAGATAATTGTCCAGGATACGATCATATCAAATACTCCATGCTTATTAACCTTCCAGAAATTGCAAAACATTTTCTATTAGACCCATTTCTCTCTTTTCTTGTGTATTTAAAACTTTGGAACGGATGTTAAAACATAGACTAGAATGGTGGGTCCATACCAAAAAATTACTACCAAATAATCAGTTTGGATACAAACGAGGATGTGGAACTTTAGATGCTCTAGCTACACTTGTAACGGACATACAGAGTAACTTTTCTAGAAATAACTATTTGCCTACTTTATCTCTAGATATAGAAGGTGCTTATGACCTCGGTGTGTGTTTACCTCGATTAAAAGACAAAATGATCAATCAATTTCAAATACCAAATCAAAATTCAAAATCTGGCACAAACCATAATTAATTTCTACACTAATAGACGCTTATACGTTAGAAACTATAAAAATGAATTTCTTGGACCACGTTATAATAGTTGGGGATTACCCCAGGGATCAGTCTTAAGCCCTTTTCTTTTTAATCTGTATACTGCTGATTTTCATAGCCTTAATATACAAAGTATCACTTACAAAACAATCCAATATGCTGATGACTTCCTAGTCTATACAGAAAGGACTAGATATGAACCTTCCCTTACAATCTTAAGAAAATTACATAAACATTTTTCAAACTGGTTTTGTGAAAATGGTTTTAATTTATCCACTAATAAATCAAACGTGTGCATTTTTTCACGACATAATATTCCGAACATAAATACTATTTTATTAAATGGCCAAAGTTTAAATTTCTGTAAGTCAATAAAATATCTAGGTATGTTTCTAGATCAAAAGTTAACATGGAAAGTACACATCGAGTATAGTGTCCAATATCAAATCTTCAGAATTCATATCCGAAATTGGACAGTATAATTTTATCACCCAGTAGACCGAATGAATTTATTTGTTATTAAATACACACACGTAGTTAATTAGGTTACATTAGATTTGGTCAGTTATCAACAATAAAATTTGGACATCAGTCGAAAGTGCTGACGAAAGTTAAACAATTTACACATAACTTAGATACACATGTCATTAGGTCCGCGAATATATTGACCCAATTAAAACTTATATAAAACTAAAATCTTTTGCCTAGAGTAGCATTCAATCAATATTCACTCAACAAACGTGATAGTCTTCAACGCTCAACTGCAACAGTCTCTACTCAAAGTAATCCCGGGTCAACACCCATAGTGTACGTCTCGTCAATAAACTCTGCTACTATTATTCTGTGTTTCCATTACAACTGAACGAACATCTTCACTGAGCCAACGAAGGGGAATTTGTTCATGGTCCTATCGAGAAACAGAATACTTCAAGGAAGTTTGAGAGAGCCTATACAGTCCACGCCAGCAACACCCTCAGTAGCAGAGAGAGACCACTAGACCCGGGAGAACGAGAGCAGTACCAAAGCCGAGAGCCATACTAGAGCCGAGAGCAATACAAAAGCCGAGAGCCATACTAGAGCCGAGAGCAGTACCAAAGCCGAGAGCCATACTAGAGTCGAGAGCAGTACCAAAGCTGAGAGCCATACTAGAGCCGAGAGCAGTACCAAAGCCGAGAGCCATACTAGAGCCGAGAGCAGAACCAAAGCCGAGAGCCATACTAGAGCCGAGAGCAGTACCAAAGCCGAGAGCCATACTAGAGCCGAGAGCAGTACGAAAGCCGAGAGCCATACTAGAGCCGCAGAGCAGCCAAAGGACAGGACCGATTGCAGAACCCACCAGAAGCGAGGGATCCTCAACGTCTAAGAACACAAAAAACCGTAAGTTTTTAAATAATTACAAAATCTTCCAATTTTTACAATATTACAATTTAACAATTTAGAACAACAATCTCCACTCTATCAATCGTACAATAATGTACTTTAGAATGTATACCATTTAAATAATACAAAGAATTGATAAAACAAAAATAAACGTCATTCACAGCTAAAATTTACTAAGCAAAATTTTGTAGGACAATTTGAAAAAAGAAACGTTCATACATATAGCTTGCTTTTAATTTCAATTAAATACTTTATTTCGAAAAATTAAAATAATTACTTAGCAAATAATTTCATTTATGTTGAGAATATATATATATATATATATATATATATATATATATATATATATATATATATATATATATATATATATATTATTATAACAGAGTGGATTACATCTCGACCTACCTCAATAAATACAGCAGGCAAGGTCAAACTTATATTGCGCTAGATTGCACATTCCAATAGAAAAGAAAGTGTAATAGTACAGGTATATTTAATAAATAAAAATAATCATGGATAGTGTATACGTTAAGCAAGCTGAGATAGGAGCAGAAATAGCGAAACTCGTTTCAAATACTAAAAAGGATTCCCAATCTCGGAAAAATCAACAATACATCCGGGATAGACAGGAAAAATTAGAAGAATATTGGGCAAAATTTTTGAATAATCACAAAAAGTTGCTAGAAGGGGGTATAACGAAAGAAAAATATTTTGAAACAAAATACTATGATCAGGTATTTAAGACATACATTGAGGGGAAAACCCTATTGGAAGGATATGGAAGGGTGCTGAAAAGAGGAAAAACACCGAAAGTAAAGGAGATACAGATAAGAAAACAAAGAATCGAGGAATTATTACGGCCAGAAAATGAACAAGACTTGCAGGAGGATGAAGAATTGCAGTCAGAGTTAAGAGAATACATGGAAAAGGTGAATACACTAATGATTGAAGCGGCAGTAAATGAGGAACTAGACGCTACAGATAATGGAGAAGTAGAGAGAATAAATCATCTAAAGAGGAAAGTCAGGGAAGCATTGAAGAAAATAAGACCAGGAATGCAACGACCAGAAAGCACACAGAGAAGGGACGGTGTGACATTACCGCAGGTAAAAATCCCTGTGTATGAAGGCAGATATGAAACGTGGAGAACCTTCCATGATCTCTTTACTAAAGTAATACATGAAAATGACCAGTTATCAAACGCAGAAAAAATGCAGTACCTAAAAACTCAAGTAAGAGGGGAAGCCAACAGAATGATACAACACTTAAACATATCCGAGGCCAACTACGAAGTGGCCTGGAACATGCTAAAAGATAGGTATGAGAACCCAAGGATGGTATTGTTTAAATTAATAGGCAGGATGCTACTAGCGCAGGAAGTAAAGGAATCTTCTGCTAGAGCATTGAAATCACTACATGACACCTTCCACGAAAGTCTGGAAGATGATTATGGATCTGATGATTTGGACAATTTTCAAACATTTGAAAATAAATTTTTAAATTATTATTGGGGTGAATTAGAGCAAGCTAGATTTAGGGAAGTTCTTTATTTTGGAAAGTATAATCCTAATTTAAGATCTAATATGGTAGATTATGCATTAAAGCTGATAACAGTTGCAAAGTATTTAGAACCACCACTTAGAGAAGATGAAACAGTTTTAAATGTATCTAGACATTTTGATACAGATGTTATACAAACAGTAACAGTACAAAATATTCAAACAATAGATAGTTTTATTAATTTTATTCAAAGAATACAAAGAGGTAATATGACAAGTAACAATGATAACAATGATATTAGGATGAATAATAATAATAATAGAAAAAACAATAATAATTTTCAATATAATAAGAATAATAATCAACAATATAGACAATCATATAATAATAATATATATGGTAATAATAGACAAAATTTTAATAGCAGTACTAATTATTACAATAGACAAAATGTTAATAACAATACTAATTATAATAGACAAGATTTTAACAATAGGAGAAATACAGAACGACCTAATTATAACAGACAGGTAAATCATATACGAAGGAACAGAAGCTGCAAAGATAGAGAACGAAATAGTACAAGGCAGGAAAATATGAGTAGAAGTCATAGTATGAAAGACACAGGACATTAGAACCAAATGGTCAGACACAATTAGAGAATAATTCTAACAATCCAAATTTTATGCAGTAAACTTTCTGAATTACAAGTGTGGTCATTGTGTGTGTGTGGTTGGAATATTGACTGCGAAACCTATGGTTTCATTCGCCTAATCATGTTTGACTTTGATTCTTAACAATGATTAAAATAAAAGCTATTAATATTTAAAATTTACATTATTAATGTTTTTAAAACAATATCACTACGTTAAAAATTCTACATTATACAATTGGTAAACTTACAAACATCATATTTTTTATTTATTTATTTATTTTTTTTTTTTAATTTTATACAATTTTGTATACAATTTTCTAGTAGAAGGTATCCAGTTTCGTATCCATGCATCCAGTGCCCAGTGGTTGTTTATCCAGTATTATCCAATTCCGCATTTTTTTTTTTTTTTTTTTTAATATTTTCAATATTTTTTCTATATTTCGTGTTATTAATATTGTCTAATATATATATTTTTTTTATTGTTGAAATGCTTTCTTTTTTATTTTGTTTTATATATATATATATATATATATATATTATATATATATATATATATATATATTTTTTTTTTTTTTCTCATTTATATACAAATTAATTACTAATAAACTGGGAATAAGCCACAATTAAAGATAAAAATACGTTTATTGACGTTTCAATTTCCACTTCGGAAATCGTTCTCAATTTCCGAAGTGGAAATTGAAACGTCAATAAACGTATTTTTATCTTTAATTGTGGCTTATTCCCAGTTTATTAGTAATTAATTTACAATGCCACAAGAAAATAGCTTCAGAACAATATTTATATACAAGTTTTGGTATACATTGGTCTTTATAAATTATTATTTCATATTCTTATTTTTAAACTGCTTATGTATTGATACAGCAACTTATAAACTTCTAAATTGTTAGAAACTACTAACCCATAAAGGTTGATGGGTTTTACTAAAATTTTTATTTTCATAATGGTTTCCATAAAAACATTGGTCTTTATTCTATTTTTACTACAATTTAATATCATATGTTCTAGTGTGCCATATTCTCCACATTCGCAGTTTGGGGAATTTACAATTTTTAATTTAAATAAGTGAGATGGTGCTAGGGAATGATTGAATCGAATTCTACAGATAATTCTGATTGCATCTTTTTTTGTTATAAAATTACAGAACCATGGTTTGGTAGGAATTTTCGGCTGAATGCCTTTATAAAAAAGTCCCTTGGTGGAATGATCATATTTATTCATCCATTCCTGCCTAATTATATTTTTTGAAATAATATAAAGGTCTTCAGGAACTAATGAATAATTTACAACAGTATCGGAATCTAATGCTTCCTTGGCCAGTATGTCTACTTTTTCATTGTGGATGATCCCACAATGAGCTTTAACCCAAACAAACTTAACTATTTTTCCTTCCTCATACAAGTATTTAAAATTAATTAATATATTTTGTAAGATATAATTAATATTAATATTAGTAGATATGTTTGAAAGTTTATGTAAAACACTTTTACAATCTGATATTATTAAAAAAATTTTTTTATTAAATAATTTATTTTTAATATATTTTAATGCTTCTAATATAGCGACTTGTTCAGCTGAATAACTTGAAAATTCACTCGGAAGTTTTTTTGCCTCGAAATAGTCTCGTGTAGGGTCCCAAAATGCACATGACGTTTTATCGTCTTTTTTTGATGCATCTGTAAATATGATATGGTAATTTTTAAAATCATTTTCTATGTCCGAATTAAACATCACATTTCTCAACGACATGGGGTAATTAGAATAATCTCTTAGAAAACGTATGTCTATTTCAGGCACATCAGTTAAGTTTGTTTGGTATATCGGTAACAGTTCGTTTTTATACATATTGTCTTTATATTGTAAGCAGCCTTGATATGATTTACATAAAACCAGTGATTCTTTTTTCTGCCAGTACTTATTAGTTAAATCCATTATAAAAAGGTTGTGAACTTTATTAACTAGACTACTATTTTTAGATGAAATTTTGCACAAAAATTTATTACAGAGATATTTTCTTCTTAGCTCTAAAGGCATTTCACAACATTCTACTTGAAGATTTGAAATTGGTATACTTTTAAACGCCCCAAGGGATAATCTTAGACATTTATTCACTAAATTATCTAACTTTTTTAGGTTACTGGAGGCTGCCTGAGAGTATAGAAAGCATCCGTAATCCAGAATTGATCTAATAAATGACCTGTATAATAACAGGGACATTTCTGAATCGGCTCCCCAACTGTAAGAACTTACAGCTCTTAATATATTTAATCCTTTCTCGGTTTTTTTTAATATTCTTTCTATGTGCTCTTTCCAGATTAATTTTCTATCAATTGTTACTCCTAGGTATGTTACGTGGGAGATGACGGGAAAACTATGGTCTTGTAAAACAAGCTGATTGGGAATAGTTCGTTTCCGGGTGAATATACATGCTTTTGATTTCGTGAGTGAAATGTTTAAACTTTTCTCGTGACACCATTGGTTAAATCGAAGAAAAAATTGATTTAAAGAACTGTAACCAGATTCAAAATCACAATTATCAATGTAAATGCATATATCGTCAGCATATTCCAGTATCTTAATATCCCTGAATTCGTCTGTTAGCTTTTCTAGGTCAAAGGTATAGATTGTATACAATATAGGACATAAAACGCTACCCTGAGGTAATCCCAGACTTGTTGTTCTTGTATCTAAAATTTCCTCATTTATTTTAAGGTTAATTATGCGATTACGATATAATTTTATTATTTTTCTAGAAAATTCACAACTAAAACCAATTCGCACCATTTGTTGATGTAGAATTCCTAGATTTACTTTATCGTAGGCTCCCTGAATATCCATAAACAACGCTATGGTAGAACGATTTAATGAGAATGAGATATTAATGTCAGTGACTAGATGGGTAACATTTTCTATTGTTGAATGAGCTTTTCTAAACCCAAACTGATATTTTGGTAGTTTGAGATTGGATTCTAGCCAATATTCCATTCTTGTTTTGAGCATTCGCTCGAAAGTTTTAAGTACACATGATGCCAGTGATATACCTCTGTATGATTCTGCTAGATTTGAATCTTTTTGCGGTTTTAACATTGGAATCATAATGTATTTCTTCCAATCTTCTGGATACTGCGAGGTTTCCCATATATTATTTATTATTTCTAACAAAGTAATTTTGCATGATAATGGAAGGTTGTATAACATTATATAATGAATGTTGTCGATACCAGGAGCCGTATTTTTGTGCTTTTTAATACTGCTCTGGAATTCTTTGAGACTAAATTTCTTTAACAGACTGTCCATTGCAATTTTATTGATATTTTCTACTTGAGGAGGGTAAACTGCTTCTTCTTCTTCAACCCATGGTGGCGTGACTTGGTTTATAAAGGTTGTTGTCCATTCTCCTGCTACTACCTTACTGACTGGTTCTTTACAATTATTTTTTAATTTTCTAACCTCTGTCCATATTTGTGAGATCGGTGTATTTTTATTTATTGAAGTACAAAAATTTCTCCAAGATTCTTTTTTGCGCTTTTTTATTAGTTTTTTACACGAAGCCATTGTTCTTTGTAGACAAATATAATTTTCTGCATTTGAGTTTTGTTTAAAACGCAAAAGAGCATCTTTTTGATTTTTCATTAATATATCACATTCTTCATTCCACCAATGTTTATTAAATTTCGAGTTGATCACTTTTTTCTTTTTGGGTATTGAGTTTTCTGCTGCTTTGTTTAATTCTGCTATAAATTTATCATATCGATTTATATTATTATGATTATTACTGTGTTCAATATTTTCAGAAAAAAGTGACCAATTTGCTTTGTTTAAATTCCATCTATTTTGATTTGTTTTAATAATATAATTATTACTTTTGATTTCTATTAATATGGGAAAATGATTAGATCCTAAAGTATTTGTTTTTGTTTGCCAATTGCATAATGTAACCAAATCAGGCGATACAATAGACAGGTCTATTGCCGATTTATTCTTTTGATTTAATGAAGGAATGAGCGTTTCCGCGCCATTGTTAAGAAAAACTAGATTGGTATTTTCAATTGCTGAAAGTAAATTAATTCCTGCTCTATCAGTAATATCACAACCCCACACTTGGTGGTGACAATTAAAGTCACCCGCCAACAAAAAAAGGTTTTTCCAGGCTTTCAAGAAACAATGACCAACTTCTTTCAGATATGTTTAATTTCGGTTTTGCATATATCGAATAAATATTTATTGTAAATAAGTTACTTACTTTAACAGCTAGAGAGACAGTCATTAAACCTTCAATACTCTTAAAACTCTTTGTATTGTTAAAAGCAATATTTTTTTTCAGAAGAATACCTACACCACCATATCCATCTTCTCTATCTGAACGAAACAAATGATACCCATTAAAATTTGGTTTCAAATGTTTCTTTAACCAAGTTTCACTTAAAATACTCAAATGAATATTATTATCATACAAAAATTTTTCTAGTAATCCTTTATTGTGTATTAATGATCTTATATTATACTGAAGAATATTGAATTTATTGTTGAATGTTATTAAGAATTGGTAAAATATTCGTTTTAATTGAATTTAACATTTGCTTATTATCTGTTGGTATATACTCTTTTATAACTTTTATAATTGATTCCATTATTGTGTTGCTCTGAATACATGCAGCATCAAAGTGAGTAAAAGAAGAAGAACTCGGCTGACTAAAAGGTACCTTGTGATATTGTGGAATATTTCTAAAACTTTCATATACGGGTCTAGAGGGGACAGTTGGAAGGGTTATTATATCTCTATGCTCTTGGGTTATAGGATCTGGTGGTAATGGACTTGTTGCGATTCTTTTTCTTTTTATATTGACGGTATATTTAGATCCCTCTGTGGGAGATTTAGTAGCTGATGCATAGCTTGATTTATGTCTATTAAGGGCTTCCACATAACTTATGTTTTCTGTTGCCATTAAACGTTTAATTGATTTTTGTTCGGAAAATTCTGGACATTTAAATTTATCTGTAGCAGAATGATTGCCTGTACAAAAAATACACGAAGGGTTGTTTTGTTTCTCGCAAGTATCACTAATATGTTCATTACCGCAAAATTTACATCTTTCCTTACCACGACACTGCTTAGCTATATGTCCATAACGCAAGCATTTTAAACATTGTATTATTTTAGGAATATATGTTTCGACATCATAAACAATTTTTTCTATTACTACTTGACTAGGAATTGTTTGTCCCTTAAAAGAGACAATAACAGTCCCCGTAGGAATTAATTTATCCTCAGATTTTCTAAACATTCGCTTAACCTGTGTAACTGTAACAACCTGACCAAATTTACCTTTAATTAAACCTTTTAATTCAATTTCAGAAATATCAGTATCTACATGTCTAACAACACCTCGTTTTTGTGTGTAAAAAGTAGGTATATAAGCATCATAGTTTTTATCCGATAGTGTTTTAGATTCAGCTAATTTATTTGCGGCCAAAAATGTATTACATTCTACTTTCAATTTATTTCTACCAATTATGGAAATATTAACAATATTATGTTTAATTTCATTTTCAGCATTTAATATTAACCTTGCAGCTCCTATTCTATGCAGTTTACCTATATTCCCTGATTTATTTTCTACGAAAACATAGTACGGTCCCTGATCTCCAAGTAAATAATAATTCTTTTCAATATTTTCAATAGATATTTCGCTTACCTTGTTACTGCCGTTTTGATATTTATTATTTAGATTTATATTTTGATACTGACTTTCTTTCCTTCCCCTATCTGGTGGGATATTCCGATCGTCATCAATTTCCATGTCTTATTAAACACACACATACAAACCTATTAGTTCAATAGACCCAACTACAAATATTAACTAAAAACTGGTACTGATAATTTACACTTCCTAATTGCCCTCGATGTACACTCGATGAATGTTAATCGACAACTGAAGTGATTGTCATTATGAGAAACCTTCTAAATTTATTTCTTTAGATGAAGATAAAATTATTGAATCTATTAATTTAATTTATATAAATGCTATGACCAAAAATAAAATGATTAAGATTATGATAGATACTGGTTCAGAAAGTACTTTAGTCTCGGAAAATTTTATTTTTAATACATTAAAACTATCAGATATAATGAAGATTCCAAAAATTAAAATAGTTGGTGCAAATAATAAGAAGTTGGGTGAAATGGATAAACTAGCCAATTTTAAAATTAATATTCTTAATAAAGAAATTAATATGCAAGGATTTATTGTCAAGGATTTATGTGTTGATATATTAATGGGAAATGATGAATTGGAAAAGAAGAAAGTGAAGATAGATTTTGAAGAAAAAGTTGTAACTTTGGAAGGGCAAATAATTAAGTTTATGCAGAAAGATGAGGAGGAAGAAGAAATAAAAATTGATAGGATAATATTAAAAGAAAGTAATGATGTTTATGAAGAAGAAATGTATTTTGATGATAGGGCGATGTCCCAAAATAATGTAAAGAATAATTGTAATGAATATTTAAGGAATGGAAAAAAGCAGATGGATGCCTACGAGGCGGAGTGCGTAAAACTGGAAGCAAGGAATAATAATTACATACTGAAAAATAATTTTATTTGTAAAGAAGAGGATATGATAAAAGTTTTAAGTTGCCCCGAAGAATATAAATCAATAGTCATTTTCATATTGCAGCAACACAAGGGACTTGTTTATAAAGAAAATAGAATTGCACACAATTATATTCATAGTATAAAAGTAAAAGAAGAAAAAGATTTTAAAACAAAATCGTACCCAATACCATATAAATACAGAGAAGAAGTAAATAGAACAATTAATAATATGTTAGAAGATAGAATTATTGAGAAGGCAGATACACGTTTCATTAAGCCTATAGTGGTAGTACGAAAAAGATCAGGTGAAATCAGGCTATGTTTGGATGCAAGGAATATTAACGAGATCACTGAAAAGCAATTTGAAGCACCAATGAGCATAGATGAAATACTAGGAAGAATTACAGGAATGTCATTTTTCACTAAAATCGATTTACAGCATAGTTTTTGGTTAATACCTCTAGAAAGGAAAAGTAGACAATATACAAGATTTCAGATAGATGGAGTAGTATATCAATTCAAAGTAGTACCATTCATCGTGCAGTGCTCTGTGTAGATGTCTTCATGATATTTTGGATCAATATGAACAATTTGTAATTCATTACATTGATGATATAGAACATCCCAGAGGTACTTTTCAGTGCGTCACCGTTTTTTCGATTTCTTTTTAATGCATTAAGTTGGATGTGACGGAGAAAGCGGTAGTTCCGTGATTAAACAGAACTAGATTGCAGCGTTAGAATAAGCTTACATACATAAGCAGTTCTTTCCTAACCTACGTTTGATTCGTTGATATTTAGATGCGCGTTTTCTCTAGCCAATCAAATACGCCTATTAATGACAGCTGACGGAAAACTTCGTCCATGCTGGCCATTCTTTCAAAGTGTTCCAAAAGCATGTGACGGCTGTCGTTCAGGTCAGTATTTGCAAAGAATATAGACGCTATATAATATATTTATATTCTTTGGTATTTGATTTGTATAATTTTATTATGTATTTTGTTTTACGTGGTATTGTGATTGTGGTTTTGTTTGTATTTGTACAAGATGACAAGATATACAGAAAAAGAACAAGTTCTAATATTAAAATTGCTTAAATATTTTTAATTGGAAAAGGAAGCTGGACAAACATTATTACCAATTTCTGCTGTTCGTGAAGTAAGTCGAAAATTACCCTGAAAATAAAATTGTTTTATTTACTGTTTATTTCAGCGTGTTGCTGAGGCGTTAGAAATTTCTCCACTGGCAGTATTTTTCTATAATTTTCTATTACACTGATATTCAAATTCTACTTTTCACTGTTTTCAATAAACTATTATTATTACAGATTAGTAAATAAATAGTTTTTATGATTAGAATTATATTTTATTTATGTAATTAATTTAGAAGTTAATTAATAATTTTCAGTCTTTTTTGTGTTACTTATACTATGGCCAAAAAGCAGTAGTGAGAATAGAAGAAATAACATCAGAAGAAATAGAAGTACAAAGAGTTGTTCGACAAGAGTGTATGCATTCACCAGTATTATTTAATATGTATACTCGGAAGACATATTAAGTAAGGCAATGGATTAACGAAACGTAAACATTAGAATTAATGACATGATTATAAATAACCTGAGATACGCTGATGATACAGTTCGTTTAACCGAATCACATGAAGACCTACAGGTACTTCTTAATTAGGTGACAATAGTAAGCGAAGAAGAATATGGACCGTCACTCAACAGAGCAAGAAATATATGATAATAACAAAGACAACTCATGACATTCGTGAGATATATGTACAGAATCAGCCTATTGAAATAGTAAGAGAATTCAAATACATATATACAACTATTAATGAAAACAATGACAGCTCTCAAGAAATACGAATCAGAATCAAACAGTCCAGAAGCGCATTTACAAGAATACAAAGGCTTCTCTGCTGTATAAACTTAAACCTTAAGTTAAAAATACGACTGCTGAGGTGCTACGTGCTATCCGTATTATAATACGGGATGGAAGCGTGGACACTGAAGAAAATTCACGTGAGGAAACTGAAGGCATTCGAGATGTGAATGTACCGAAGAGTACTAGAGATCTCATGGGTAGATGGAATAACCAACGTTGAGGTTATGTGACGTATTCATAAGGAAAGAGAAGTACTAACAATTAAAAGGAGAAAAGTGGGATATATGGGTCATGTGATGAGAGCAGATAAATATCTAATACTCCAGGTTATTATGCAAGGAAAAATCCGGAGAAAAAGATCCATAGGAAGAAGACTTAACCCATGTAATAACGACTTATTTAGAGCCGCTGTCCCAAAATTAAAAATCGCTGTGATGATTGCCAACTTTCGACGCGCAGACAGCCCCTTGAGAAGAAGAAGATACGAAAATTCAATAAATGAATCATTTTGTCATCAAGTTCGAATGTTTCCATATTTATAAATTTAATAAACAATATTGTTTACTTTTTATTAATATACGGGATTACCTCCTGTGGGTAAGTACGATCCTGGAATCTGTCAGATTTTTCAATAATTATATGAAATAATGCTCGACACACCGCATTCATTCTATGACGTCATAATTAATGACGCACTGAAAAGTACCTCTGGGATGTACTTTATATTAATTTTTTCTAAAACTGCTGAAGAGCATGCGGAACACCTAAAAATAATAATGAACATATTAGACAAAGTTGGACTAAAAATAAATCAAGAAAAATGTACATTTTTTCAAAAAGAAGTAATATATGTAGGTTATAAACTAAATACTAAGGAAATTGAAATGGATCCAGAACGGACACAGGTTATTCAGGAATGTAGAACACCACACAATTTAAGAACTTTAAGAGGATTTATTGGAATAATTAATTATTACAAAAGGATGATACCAGATCGAAGTATAAAAGAAATTCCATTACTGAGGAAAGGTGTAAAATGGAAATGGGACCAGCGAAGAGAACTAGCATTCCAAGAAATCAAAAACATTTTTCTGTCAAATTTAAAAATATACCATCCTGACTATACAAAGCCATTCATATTAAGAACAGATGCCTCAATAGAAAGATTATCAAGGGTATTACTACAAATACATGATGGGGTCGAATACCCGATACAATTCATATCAAGAATTACAAAGCCACATGAAAAAAATTATTCAGTGTCAGAACTAGAACTAGCTAGTATCATACACTGTATCACAAAATTAAGATTTTATTTGTTGGGTAATGAATTTACTATAAAAACAGATCACCAAGCTTTAACATCTATATTAAATAACAAATATGGAAACAGTCGAGTACATCGTTGGAGCCTAATACTGAGTGAATACAGTTTTGAAATCAAATACATTGCTATAAAATCCAACATAGTGGCAGATGCTTTGTCAAGGTTAGAAAATACATCACAAAAAAGGCAGCGAACAATAAAAATTGGATTAAATCAGTTGGTAGAAAATACTGGATTATATTCTAAAGAAGAAATCATAAGAGATCAAATAAATTTGGATGAAAAACAAAAAGTCCTTAAGAAAAATGGGGTGTTTTATAAAATAATTAATGGCTTAGAAGTGTATGTAATAAGTAGAATTTTGGCAAGAAAGATATTGAAAGATTTACATAAAAGTTACATGCATATTGGTTCAAGAAAACTTTGGATGTTATTTAGAGATAATTATTTTGCAAAGAATGACATAAGTATAGCAAAAAAAATTACTACACAATGGCAAATATGTCAAATAAACAAAGAAAAGAATTTCAAAAACCAGAACACATATAAATCCAATGTTGCTTATGAAAAACTAAATACAGTTGCCATGGATTTCATCTCAAATTTAGTTCCTAGTCCAACAGGGAACAAGCATATATTAGTGATAGTCGATTTATATACAAAATTTATTAAACTATATCCATGCTCAAGAACAAATGTTAAAACATTGAAATTATGTATTAATCAGTTTTTCGAAGATAGGACCATTTAGAAATTGTATAATAGATAATGCTACATATTTTATATATATATATATATATATATATATATATATATATATATATATATATATATATATATATAATCGGTTTAAAATGTCCTCCGACGTCTTCCGATGCCCAATCTCCATGCATCTCTATTTTCCCAAAGATCTTCGTCTAAACCTCTCTCTCGGATCTCTCTGTCTATTCCTTCTCTCCAGCTCTTTCTGGGTCGGCCTCTTTTTCTCTT